TGTACATATGACCATGCTTTGGCTCCAGCCATTTTGAGTTTGGCTTCACTTATTACAACATGTAATACAACATGTAACTCTCCTCCTGTCAAGGCAATCCATCTTTCTCAATGGTTTCCTCATGTTAAATGGTGTATCAGGCAGCAAGGCTGTGAAGAGAGAGACCTCTCTTTGCTTGAGAACTGGGATGCTGTTACTTGTTGGAGTAGACAGTACTGCCCCAAATGGACCAGTTACCTGACTCATCATAAGCTAGCTTTGCCTATTTCACCTTTCAGCTTTCAAGGAAGGGATCCATTCCACTTTAAACCACCTCTCGAAGAACATTGCATGAGAAACTGGGTTGGCTTAAGACATTTTGACATTCTTGTTGAGGGACAAGATGGTTTCCCTGCCTTCATTCCACAGACAGAAGCTGACAGAAATGCTGGATGAATCTTAGGGGTTTTCACACATCACCTTTTTGTAGTGGAACAATGCCAATAACCTCACTCATGCTTTCCAGGTTTGTTATACACACTATGGAATGACATCGATCTGCATCTCTGTGAGTTTGGTGCAGGAGCCATCAGCTGAGATGGTATCAGGGGTCCTCCATTACCAGTCCTGGGTTTCTCCTCCGCAGTCTGAGTCGGTGGAAAGATGCTGCTTTTCTCCTCATAAGGCCAGCCGGGAGGAGCCTAATCCCCAAAGGAGTGGATGATGCAAATGATTTCGAAACCTGTTCAAGGTATGCAGAATTTAATCCAGATATATTCATATCAGTTATTCACACTGGTGGCAATGCAAATCCTTTTTAAAAACTCAGGAAAAACCCAGTATTGATTATCCTGGGCTAAGTGGTTTTTTTGGCAGCCTACTCCCAAATTGAATTGGGCGAATTCAGGATGCTTGTGAACAACAGAGATTCAATCTTAATTCATCCTGGATTATTTTCACCTTGTGAATAACCCCTTAGTTCAGTTACTGGTGCTGGGATAATGTTGTTGTTGTTGTTGTTGTTATTATTGTTTGCCTTCAAGTCATTTCCAACTTCTGGCAACCCTATCATGGGGTTTTCTTGGCAAGATTTGTTCAGAGGTTTGCCATTGCCTTCCCCCCAAGGCTGAGAGCATGTGACTTGACCAAGGTCACCCAGTGGGTTTCATGGCCAGGCTGGGACTCAAACTCTGGTCTTCTTTGGGCCTTTGCAGACTGCCAGAAATAGTGCAAATTGAGTTCACTTTAACTGCCCTGATTCAGTGCTAGGAAATCATGGGAACTGTAGTTTATTGTGGCACCAGAGCTCTCTGACAGAGAAGGCTCAATGTCTTAGAAAAAAAAATACAATTCCCATGATTCCCTAGCACTGAGCCAGGCAGTTAAAATGGACTCAATTGCACTATTTCTGGCAGTCTGCAAAGGCCCAGAGTCAGTGAGCTAGTGTCTCACCAAACTCTAAACCTCAGGATTCCACAGGATGCATCCACTGCAGCTACTCCTGCAGTGAAGTGGTATCAATGCGTCATAACTCTGTAGTGTGAAAGAGGTTAAGATGGGGCAGGACAGGGATTATTTAATGAATAATGAAAATGTGGAAGAATCACAGCAGTGTACAGCCAGTGTTGTACAGTGGTTTGAGTGTTGGACTAGGAGATGTTAGAATCCCTGCTCAGCCACAAAAACCCACTTGGTGGCTTTGCAAAGATCTCACATACACTCAGCTGAAAAGGAATGGCAAAGCTCCTCTGAATAAATCTTGCCAACACTAACAAGATTGCCATAATCTGGAGTTGACATGGAGGCACATAATGACAATAACAGCAGTGGAGGAGTCAGGAAAGTGAAGATCAGAAGACATGGGTCTTGAAAGAAGGCATGAAAAAGAAAGAGGAAGCAATGTGGAATAAGGAGGAACACAATAAAAGGGTCTGTTGCATGGGCAAAGGTAACAAAGGGAAACCTTAGAAGAGAGGAAGAAGTGGGAAAGGTCATAAGGGAAAACAGCACAAAAAATAATTAGAACAGAATTATGTTGTGATGGTGCAACATAGTGAAGCAACCTTCTTCAGGTGGCACCTTGGGAGGGTAGGAGGATGAACAAATGGGTGTCTGAATGGGTTGCTGTTGTGTGCCTTCAAGTCATTTATAATTCATGGTGACCTTATCATGGGGTTTTCTTGGCAAAATTTGCTCATTGCCATTGCCTTCCCCTGAGGCTGAGAGAGTGTGACTTGCCCAAGATCATCCAGTGGATTTCCATGGCTGAGCAGGGATTTGAATCCTGGTTTCCAGAGTCATAGTCCAACACTCAAACCACTACACTACGCTGGCTTGCCTGTTCAGTATCACACCAAAGGTAAAGGCAAACTGCAAAGGTTTTGTGGCATCTTTAAGTCTAACAAATGTATTTGAGCACAAGCTTTCATAGACTGCAGAGAGTGCTTCTCAACCTTTGGTCCACCAGATGTTTGGTACCTCACGTCCCAGAACTCCTGACTATCTATGCTAGCTGGGACATCTGGGAATTGAAGCCCAAAACATCTGGAGGACCAGAGTCTGAGAAGTACAGTCTACTGTTATACTTAATGAAAACCTTATTGTTCAAAAAAGAAGTTAATCCAAATTCTGCAGTTACTCAGCATAAGAACCACAGAATTCTTCTTCTGCATAGCAGGACATTAAAGTGCACAAGAGCAGCATGTGAGTCTGCTGTTACCTCTATGCATTGCGCATTGTAACTGAATAATGGGTCATCACTCAGAGTCATCGCAATGTAGTAGTTTGAATGTTGGGCTGCGAGTCTGGAGATCAGGGTTCAATTCCCATCTTGGCCATGAAAACCACCTTGGGCAAGTCATATGCACTCATCCTTAGGGGAAGGCAATGGCAAACCTCATTTGAACAAATCTTGCCAAGAAAACCCCATGATTGGTTGACCATTGGGGCACCATAGGTCAGAAACAACTTGAAGATACACAACAACACCATTTGTGTGGATTGACAATCAATCCACATAGAATGCACTGTACTTGGTGCTTAGTACAGAGACTGCAGCATAACATGACTCAGCTGGTGATATTTACATGCATCTGAGGAAGTAGGCTCAAATCTATTAAAACTCATGCTACCAACTTATTTCTTTCAGTTAGGGCCTTTGCAGACTGCCAGAAAGAGTGCAAATTGAATTCATTTTAACTGCCCTGACTCAGTGCTAGGGAATCATGGGAACTGTAGCACCAGAGCTCTCTAACAGAGAAGGCTCAATGTCTCAGAAAAAAATACAATTCCCATGATTCCCTAGCACTGAGCCAGGATAGTTAAAGTGGACTCAATTTGCACTATTTCTAGCAGTCTGCAAAGGCTGTTAGTCTCAAAGATGCTACAAGATCACTTTGCATATTGGTGGATATTTACATTACACTGAAACTCTGTGGCATCTTGGCCTAGTTGTAGCTTGACTTCAAGGATGGAACTGTAAGTTTACTAGTTACAATAATATGTAAGATATATCATAATGTACATGAGAATGTTAATCTCTATAGTGCTGGGGTGAGAAACACGGGAGCCACAGGCCACACATAGCTCAATGCCATATTTGCAGCTGTTTCCCTGAGGGTTGGTGCAGCCCACAGTGGTGGAAGAAAATATCTCTGACATTTTCCAAATTGTCCATCCCTAGGAAAATGTGATGTATTTAACTAATTGCTATCCCACCCTTTTTTTTTATTTTCCAAAATATTAGGTGGTTTACCTGGCTACAACAGAGGTGGATTTCACAACCATTCCCTAGATGGTTGTTGTGTGCCTTCAATTAATTTCTGACTTATGGCAATCTTATCACAGGGTTTTCTTGGCAGAAATTATTGAGAGCTTTGCCCTTGTCATCCTCTGAGGCTGAGAGATATACAGTTGGCCTTCCATATCCACAGTTTCTTTATCCATAGATTCAACCAGACATGGCTTGAATATAAATGTGTGTGTGTGTGCTTGTGTGTATTGTGTATACACATTGAGAGGCAGAGTGGTGTAATGGTTTGAAAGTTGGACTAGGATTCTGTAGACCAGGGTTCAATTCCCAGGTCAGCCATGAAACTGAGTGAACTTGGGCAAGTCACACTCTCTCAGCCTCAGGGGAAGGAAATGCCAAATCTCCTCTGAACAACTCTTGCCAAGAAAACCTCATGACAGGGTTGCCTTAGGGCCGCTATGAGTCGGAAATAACAACAACACATAACAACAACAACAACAAATATATAAATTCTGAAAAAAGCAAGTCTTGATTTTTGCCATTTTATATAAGGGATACCATTTTACTATGCCATTGTATTTAATGGGACTTGAGCATCCACAGAATTTGGTATCCACAGAAGTTGTGGAACCAAATCTCAGTGGATACCAAGGGCCCCCTCCCTCTCTCTTATACACACATATACACAAGACTGCCAGCCGAGATGGCAGACAATTAGCTAATAAAACAAAGAGATATTTTGGAGCTGAGGTCCAGGCTGCATTCTCCAAAAGACATTATTTATTATTAACTGCCCTTGACTAGACCCCAACTCATGGCAACCTTGTGGATAAGACACCCCCAAGACTCCCTATTCTGCAATGCTCTGTTTAGCTCCTGCAAACTCATGCCTGTGACCCCCCCTTCCCTCTAATGAGTTTAGCTATCTGACATGTGATCTCCTTCTTCTACCCTCTACCTTTCCTAGCAATATTGGCCCTTTACAGACTGCCAGAAATAATGCAACTTGAGTCCACTTTAACTGTCCTGGCTCAGTGCTAAGGAATCATGGGAACTTTAGTTTATTGTGACACCAGAGCTCTCTGACGGAGAAGGCTCAATGTCTCAGAAAAAAACTACAATTCTCATGATTCCTAGCACTAAGCCAGGACAGTTAAAGTGGACTCAAGTTGCATTATTTCTGGCAGTCTGTAAAGGCCCATTGTCTTTTCTAGTGAGCCACCATGCCTTTTCATAATGTGACCAAAGTATAAAAGCCCCAGTTTGATAATCTTGACTTCCAAGGAGATTTCAGGCTTGATCTGTTCTAGGTAAAGGTAAAGGTACTCCCTTGACATGAAAGTCTAGTCGTAACTGATTGTAGGGGGCAGTACTCATCTCTGTTTCTAAGCCAAAGAGCCAACGTTGTCCGAGGACTGCTCTGGTGGTCATGTGGCCAGCATTATTGCACTGAATGCTGTTACCTTCCCACTGACGTGGTACCTATTTTTATCTACTTGCATCTGCATTCTTTCGAACTGCAAGGTTGGCAGAAGCTGGGACTAGTAACAGGAGCTCACCCCATCATGCAGCACCCAGGCCTCGAACTACCATCATCCTGATCTTCTGATCATCAGAATTGGGATCTTAACCACTAAAGATCATTTGTTAAGGATGGTGGCCTATGTAGGGCCTAAGCAGACTGCCAGAAATAGTGCACATTAAATTGAGGCACTGCCCTGGCTCAGTGCTAGGGAATCATGGGAACTGTAATTTATTGTGGCACCAGAGCTCTCTCACAGAGAAGGCTCAATGTCCCAGAAAAAAATACAGTTCCCATGATTCCCTAGCACTGAGCCAGGGCAGTGCCTCAATTTAATGTGCACTATTTCTGGCAGTCTGCTTAGGCCTTTAGTCTTAAAATTGATATCATTCGTAAATAAACCTGGACTCTTTTGTATTCTTAGTCCTCTAGGAATACTTGCTGTGTTGCAGTATTCAGCCAAAGTAGAGGCATGTAAATCCATTCTAATATATTGTTTTTTGAGAGATTCAAAGTCATGCTAATTATCAGATTGATGTGAAGCTTCATGATCACTGAACAATGATCTATTGGACAAAATATGTGTTTTATCAGAGTCATCAAATGCAAAAGTAATATTTTTCTCTCTGTCCAGCTCTCACATTTGTACATGGTGATGAGAAATGCAATGGCTTGGATTATTCTAATTTTAGTGCTCAATTGTATATCTGTGCTCTTTAAAATCTTATCTAGTTCTTTTATAGCTGCCCTTCCCATTCCTAGTCTTTCCCTGATTTCTTGATTGCAGTCTCCATTCTGATCAATGTTTGATCCTAGGTACAGGAACTCTTTTAATATTTTGATTTCCTCATTGTCTAGGTTGAATTTATATACCGGTATTTCTTCCATGGTCTTTATTTTTATTTTCTTTATATTCAGCATTAAGCCTGCCTTTGCATTGTCTTCCTTGACTTTCCACAGTAATTGTTCCAAGTCTGTGATGTTTTCTGCTAGTAATATAATGCCATCCACATATCTAAGGGCCTTTGCAGACTGCCAGAAATAGTGCAAATTGAGTCCACTTTAAGGGTTAGGGTTAGTGCAGCTAGGGAATCATGGGAATTGTTATTTTTTTTCTGAAACATTGAGCCTTCTCTGTCAGAGAGCTCTGGTGCCACAATAAAATACAGTTCCCATGATTTCCTAACCCTAACCCTAACGCTTAAAGTGGACTCAATTTGCACTATTTCTGGCAGTCTGCAAAGGCCCTAAGACAGATGATGTTCTTTCCTCCTATCTTCTCTCCTACTTCACTTCCTCATTGTCTAGGTTGAATGATGTATTTCTTCTGCAAAGACAATGTAGTTGCAGTGAAAGTGGATCTGATGGCTACAACCCTGCAGCTAAGGCAAGGCGTGGCTAGTACCTCCACCATGCTGACTAGTCTAAGGACCTTATCCCACGGGGCCAAAAGCAGCAAGAATCCACTAAGAATCAGGCGCTATAGTGCTATAGTGTTCCGTGTGATTACACGACGTCGCTCAGAATCCGCTAAGAATCAGGCGCTATAGCGCTATAGTTTTCCGTGTGATTACATGACGTCGCTCAGAATCCAGCAAGAAACCGCTCGGAATGCAGCATCATTCACATTCTTTTGAATGTCGGTTTCAGCGGGCATTGCAATAGCGCGAGCTTATCCATAGCGCTATTATAGCGCTAGCGCCATATTTATACTAGCGCTATAGTACTGCAATGATGCTCATATCGCTTTCTTGCCACTTTTGAGAGCAGCGTGGGATAAGGTCCTAAGTCCAGGGTGACCAGATGTCCTCACCACAAAGGAGGACAAGGCACTGCTGAATGTAGAGCATTCAAGAAAATGTAGGACATTACAAAATGGAAGCTAAAAACATTTAAAGAAATATAAATTCATGCTTCTTAGCCATGCTCAAAATGGAGGACATTTTGAAATTCCTCCATGGCAGGATATAAAAACTAAAGACACTCATATAAATATAAATCCATGCTTCTTAATTCTGGTCAAAATGGAGGACATTTTCAAATTCATCCAGGGCAAAAGCTAAAAAATCTCTCATATTAGTATAAATTCATGCTTTTTAGCCATGCTCAAAATGGAGGATATTTGGGAATTCCTCCTGGACAGAAAATACAAGCTTAAAAGCACACTAATAGAAATATAAACTCATGCTTTTTAGTCCTGCTCAAAATCTTAAAAAACAAACACTAATATAAAAATTAATGCTTCTCAGTCATTGTCCAAATGGAGGACATTTTGGAATTCTTCTTGGACAGAAAATAAAAGCTAAACAAAAATTAATATAAATTCATGCTTCTTAGTCCTGCTCAAAATCTAAAAAACCCCAAAAACAAACCCAAAATCAAAACACTCATATAAAATATACATTCATGCTTCTCAGTCATGCTCAAAATGGAGGACATTTTGAAATTCCTCCTGAGCAGGATATAAAAGCTAAAAACACTCATATAAATCTAAATCCATGCTTCTTAGTCAGGCTCAAAATGGAGGATATTTGGGAATTCCTCCTGGACAGAAAAGAAAAGCTAAAAAAACACTCATATAAATATAAATCCATATTTCTTAATTCTGCCCATTGGGGCATTCCTCCTGGGCAGGATATAAAAGCTAAAAACACTCATATAAATCTAAATTCATGCTTCTTAGGTGATGCTCAAAATGGAGGACACTTTGAAATTCCTCCTGGACAGAAAAGAAAAGCTAAAAACACTCATATAAATCTAAATCTATGCTTCTTAGGTGATGCTGAAAATGGAGGACATTTTGAAATTCCTCCTGGACAGAAAAGAAAAGCTAAAAACACTCATATAAATCTAAATCTATGCTTCTTAGGTGATGCTCAAAATGGAGGACATTTTGAAATTCCTCCATGGCAGGATATAAAAACAAAAAACACTCATATAAATATAAATCCATGCTTCTTAATTCTGGTCAAAATGGAGGACATTTCCAAATTCCTCTAGGGCAAAAAAAGCTATATATATATATATATTTGGGTATTCCTTCTGGGCAGAAAAGAAAAGCTTTTAATTTAAAAAAACAAAACCTCATAGAGATATAAATCCATGCTTCTCAGTCCAGGACATTTGGGGATTCCTCCTAGCTAGAAATGTAGGACGGGTCCGGGAAAAGGAGGGCGTGTCTGGCTCAATGGCGCCCATTTCCATACACAACAAAAGGCAGCTCTATAGAGGGCTGCCACACCCAGCTCTGCCTCTCTTCCCCCCCCCCCCGGCAGCCTCCCACCACGTGTCTCTTGTTGTCGTCGTCCAATCAGCACTCCGCTCCTGATGCGTCTGGGCCAATGGGAGCGCGGGCCGCCCGCCGCTTTATAAAACCTTTGTCTGGCCGCCTCCAACCTCCGTTCTAGAACGTCCAGCCGCTGTCTTCGCGTTCGGAGGACAGAACCTTGAGCTTCCCAACGTTCTGTCTTTATTAAAGGAGCCGCGCCGGTCCTCTTAGCAAAGTAACGGGGGAAAGTAATTAAAAAGTAATTAAAGTAAAACATTTAAAAAACAAACAAAACAAACAAGGACAGGCAAGATGAGGGAAATCGTACACATTCAAGCTGGGCAATGTGGTAACCAGATCGGTGCAAAGGTGAGGATGGTTTATTAATTGATTTTAATTTAATTAAATTTGGGGTTTTGCAAAAAAAAAAAAAATTACAGTAACGCGGGGCGTGGAGCATCCTTTGGGGAAGGGGGGGGAGAGAAGTTCAAGAAACGTTTGCCACGTTGGCAAAAGGGAAATAGTCCTAGAACAACTGCACATGGTTGC